GAATGGATATGCCCAATAGCTGAGAGAATTCTTCCAAGGTGGGTACCAACTGATAATCTGGAAAGGTGAAGCAATGATGCTTAGGATCGAAGTTTTGAAATACTACGCTCATCATCTGTTCATCAAGGTTTGAAATAACCAGGCTTAGAAGTTGACCGTGTCTCTTGATGAAAGTAGAAGTTTAAGACACTCTAGATGCTAGCTCTTTGAGTTGGGAAGGTATCTGCACAAATTTGATTCAGATGGTATTTCTACGCACGAAAGCAATGATCTGCAAAACAGAACAAAGATAAATTCCCTTGGTCTTTGAAATGGTTAGTGTAATGAAGCATGAATGCCATGTTATGATGCATGATGTCATGATAAATCACAGGTATAGCAAACACATGTATTGCAAACACAATCAAATCACACAAAACCCTTAGGTTTAAGGCTTGCATGAGGTCAAAGGTAATACCCTCTTGAAGTTAAGTTGGTTCAACCTGTCCTAGAAAAAAGTAACCGGGTTCTAGAGGATCTCAATATCACTGACCATCCTCCAACAGTCATGGTTTCAACTTACACAATCTTTTTTTGCGGCCGAAATATTCCGAGAGTATGATCTCAATGAGTGTAGCATCGAGTATCAACAAATTCTCAGCTCTACACCGAGGCCAGCTATCTCGCTACTTTCTAATGGCCAAGTTGGGCAATTAAATGTTCTAAGGTCAGTTGATGCTTGACGAAACTATGCAGCGGCCCCGTATTCTCCTCGTTTCTCCATAAGGGATACCGATACCAACCAAAATGCCACACCAACGTAGCTACTGCTTCAACCGTATCGGTCTACGTCGTACAATTCCCTCACAGTCTATTGCTACTTACCTAAAAGGTGTTCCCTAGATCCCATTGTAGGATCTATAGTAACCTCAAACAAAACCCTTAAAAGTAAAGCAAATAAAGCAATCAAGAGAAGAAATTATGATGACCTAGAACCTAAGGTATACCCCACTTATTAATTCCCCAACAGAGTCTCCAGTTCTGTGATACGGTGGTAGAACTGACTGTTAATACTGGTTTGCATTTTGGGTTTTGTGTTTGCAAAATGTCGCGGTAAGCAAGAGTCTCCACCGACTTTTATTTCATCCAACCGGAAAGGAAAAAAGTACAGAAAAAATCCTTTTTCGAGATATTCTGAGTACGGGGGGTAGATTATAGAAAGGGATGGTGTTAGCACCTTTTCTATCCATGGTTTTCCATGGGATCTTAGGTACTTGCTCATGTTTAAATTGCTCGTGTTTGTGTGCTTTGTTTTTGAAAAATGTTTTACTTCGTGATAACCCTTGTATTAGTCCTCAAGGGTGTGACGAAGTTGTTTTGAAAATTGGTTTTGAAAAGTGTAAGTGTGAAAAGTTTTGATTTGAGAAAGTACCTACAAGCATCTACCTACTCGAAAAAAAGATCGTTTCTATCCCTGTTTCCTTTAGACAGCGCTATCCCACTATTGAGAAACAGGTAGCACCGTCGTTGGAGTTGTAAGGGTCAATCCGAAAGGGACGTACGATCACTAAAGCAATATTAAGACACCTTAGTAATAACCCTAGAGTCTTAAGATCATATTCGAGGCAACATTTCTGACGCAACATTCGAATGGGACAATTTGGTCTTTTGGACTGGAGGGCAACCACTAAAACACCCTATGCTTAATGATCATTTACCGAAGGCAACCGAAGTGAGAGTATACCTAAGAGTGATATGTGCGAGTGATTTGTTTCAGTTATTTATCTTTGCACATTAGGGTTTTCTAACTGTATTAATTTGTCATACACTGTTGTCATACAATCCTATTAGCATACATCTAGACAGTTAAATATTTGCAGGAATTAAAAATGTGCAAAAATAAACCTACACTATTACAAGGCTTCGGGGATGGGGATTAATTACATAGCCAAAAACCCATGGGTTTAAACAGTAAAATAAACCCTAAATTAACTATTACAAACCATGAACAGTTACAACAATATTGGCAAAATAATTAACAAGCGCGCGGCGAATTAAATGCGAGACAATTAGGGTTTTGACCCTTGACTAAACCTATTTGCGATTGATTAAAAAAAGATGTTTTTGTCATGTTTTGTTATTTAAGAAAATAATGAAACAATTAAATTAAAAAGAAAATCCTAAGTTCTAATTAATTTTAAATTAAGAAAAACAAATTAATTTATTCTAAAAACCTATTTTTGTGTTTTTTTTATTTTATTTGGGAAAAAAGAAAAGAATTAAATCAAGAACTTAACCTAGTTTTTTCTAATTGATTTTAATTGTAAAAAAGAAAACAAATTAAAGTTACCCTAGTTTTAATATTAAGCTAATTAATTAACAAAATTAAATTTAATAAAAAAATCTAATTCTAATTTTTTATGATTTCTTGATTTTGTGATTTTAAAAAAGTGATTAATGGTGTTAATTAAAATAATTAAAAGAAAATATTAAAATAATTTAAAAAAAAAGAAGAGAATAAAAAGGTGAAGAGATGGGCCTGTGTTGTTGTTAGCAAAGAGGGGGTTTGAATCTGATTTTTCTGGGCCCAAATAACTCCAAGCCTGTTTGACCATGCTTGATTCGGTGTGGATGTTGACTTGAGGAATATGGTGGACCTTCAATGGAGAGGAATTGGATCTGGCTAGCTGGACACCAAAGGATGGATGTTGAGGTTGCATGGTGAGCCTCATGATGGGCAACGCGCTGGATCAGCTAATTGAAAATAATATAAATAAAACATTGGGACCTTGGGATCGAACCCAGGTCCCTATACTCAATTCCAACGCTTGCTTGCCAGCTGAGCTGTGATGGTTAGTTGTGATAATAATAATAATAACAAAACATAATATTCAAAACAAGCTAGTGGGGTCAGCCAAACGCATGAAATTTCAAACGAACGAGTCACACGCTGCCACACAAGCTTCCTCTTCCTCTCTCCGTCACTTTAACAAACAAATCTTTTACCTACGGACGCTTGCTGTAGGTACAGAACTGTTCATCTCAAAAATTGTATACGAGCAAGATAAATGACAAGTGTTGGTACCAATCAACTCGTCTCATCCTCACAAGCATCATAGTACCAGAATTAAAGCCTAAATTTGCCTTCATTGAAAACCCCTAAAGAAGAACATAAAACCCTAACAATGGAAATATCACGTATAGGCATCAAGAATGCAATTAAATAGAATGATTAGCTTGCAAACATGATGATAAACAAGAATATATAAATCAAAAGTGCTAATGATGCGTAAATTGCAATAACCAAATTTGAAAAATATACCAAACCGCGTGAGTTGTAGAACGAGCTTCTGAGTGTTTCAGGCCCTGGGAATGATTGGAATAGCTTCTTGGGATGTCTAGCAAGCGATTGGAATGGCTAGTGCACCTTAAATTGGCCTGTAGAGTGAAATTCGTCTCACACTTTTCTTGGAATTTTTCAATTTTGTTATGCCTTTCTCATGACCTCTAACCTTTTTTTTGCTTTGTTCTTGTTCATTATATATCCCTCAATGAATTAGGGTTGCAAAACAGATTGAATCTTGAAGCTTTGATGATATTTGATTTGATTTTTAATTTGTATGATTTCTTTCTATTTTCATGCCAATCATGCCTTTCTTGTACCAATTGCCATTGATTCGAATTGATCATGCAAGCTCAACATATCTTGATTGCCAGTCTATAACAAAAACAAATCAAATCATATCTTTGATAATTTTCATCATTTATTTGATTTAATTCACTTCTTAATTAATAAAAAATCAAAATAAATTGAAAAATGAAGCAAATAATGTGTGGATAAATATTTGAGTCGTGGACCACATTATAATTGAGGTGCAAGCATAAAAAGTTGGGCCCATTTAGCAAAAAATGCAAATTTGAGCTCATTTGACTTTTGGCAATTTTGCAAAAATGATCAACTTGGCCAATGCATAACTTTCTCAATTTTGACTCTAGAGAGGTGTTCTTGGACTTTTTAGAAATATTATGATTTCCTCTAAGCAACCCTTTATGTCTTATCTCAATTGAGTCTTCCATGTTCATGTATGAAGCTTTGACCCAAAAGGTGTTTTTGTTGACTTTTTAAAAGGACCTATAATGTCAAAATTCATATCTCTTTGTGAGTGCATTTTCTGAACTTAGCAGCTGAACATGAATTGTAGGGAATTTCATCCTCTTCAAAATGAGCTTTGGATGGGTCATTTATGATAAAGTATGAGAAAGTTATGCTTGGTCAAAGTTGAGTTGACTTTTCCTATAAAACCCTAATTTAGCAACTTTTGGGTTTTGATGAATTGTGAGCAGTCCTTGATGAATCATGATCAACCCTTGATCAAATGATGGATAATACTTCAAAATGAGGATGTTGACCAAAAATCTTGAAGTTTGACTGTATGTGGGCCATAATTGACTTTTGACCTAGTACAGTTGATTTTTAGGCATTTGAGCAATTGACTGAGCAAACTTCTTCTGCAAGGCTTGAAACTTAACATGGATTATCTTGAGAACATATTGGGACAATGGTGAGCATTTGAGTCCTTTTTGGTTCACACATCTTGATGAAGATAGAAACCCTAATTAGAGATAGACTGCCTTAGGAGAGAGTTTGTCTGGTCAACTCTTGAACTTCCTTGAGCAATTTAGGGATCTCACTTGACATTTGTTGAGAAATATGGGAGGGAAAATTTAGGGGTACAACACAGTGCTGCAAACTTGATGTCATGGAAGATCTTGTGAGAAAATCCTTGAGAAATGAGAGGGAAAATTTTGGGGTACAACAACTGCCCCTATTTAATATTCTTAAACCTGAAGAGTTAGATTGGCACGCCTGCCATTCGTGACTTGAAGGTGGAAGATGATTGAACACTAGAGTGCCCGGAAATTTGAACTCTGTGATGTTTTAGTTGACTGTGTAGGGAATGGGCTTAGAGATGCCATTCAAAATGATTGGGGATGGTATCAGGATAAATCTTTGGGTTGATTTAAACTGGAGTGGCAGATGTCTTCTGCCTGTTGGTTTTCCTGCAAGGGATAGATTAGTCGCATGAAGATGTATGCATGGCGTAACTGTAGCGGTGAAAATCGGAGATCAGGCTATTAATTAACTTGACTCACAAAAAGCAAGAGTCGCCACCGCGCTTTATTATTTCCAAGGGAAAAGGGAAAAGAGCGAAATAAAACCCTAAAATATGCAATGTAAAATAATACTTAAAAGTAATAAAAATACAATGCGTTTTTGAAAGAGATCGAGAGTTCGGGGGTTGGTTATACAATGGGAAGGTATTAGCACCCAATGCATCTGCGGTACTCCGGAGGAACCTTTTGAAATATCTGTTTTTGGTTAAAATTGTTTGTTTGATTAAAATGGTTCGTTTGGCTAAAAATCGGTGTTGGAGAGATTTTGAAGATATGACGACCTAGTGTCGAAGTTTTGACTTAAAGGGTGTGAGTTTGAAAATGGAGTCTTTTGGGAAAATTATCTTGAGTTTAGCAAAATAGTAAACAAACAAAAGATGAAAAAAAAGGGTATTCGCACGATCAGATGAGATGTATTTGATGACGTGAAGTCAACAAGATTCAAATCTTTTCCTTGGAGTTAAAACCATAGACGGATAAATAAGCTAAGAGTATATCAAACCTTAGGTGAAAATAAATCACAAGCCGACAGCATCAAAAAACCAGATGTAAGATAATACTCCCAGCAGCGAATAAAGTGCAATGAACCACAAGCGAGAAGTGCAACGCGTGAAAATAAATCACGGAAAAAAGAAATCGTGGATGACGCTCACGGTATAAGACTCCCTACATCACATGAAAAACTCCAACAAACAGATAAACAGGATAACAGAGAAATAATATGAACATCTCATGTGAAATAAAGAATCAAGCTATGGGACCGGAATGCGTCGAATCGAAGTCCATAAAAAACTGGTTAGTGAAGTTTATACATTCATTATATATTCGAAAATTAAATCGAGCTCAAAATTTGAAATCACAATGAAACGATAAAATAGACAACACAATTTAAATTTATTTACAAGATAAAATTCCAACTAAATCTAAAACTCAAAAGTTTCTATTAAATAAAACAATAAGAAAATTAAATCACAAATTGAATTTATTTACAAATAAATTCTACTTAGATTTTTAATATTTACCAAATACTAAATTAAAATAAAAAAACAAAAAGAACAAAACATGAATGCAAAATTTAAATGGGGTATATAAGAAATAACAATTGGGCTTAGAGACCAAAGTAAATGTCAAGCCCAATTTACTTGAAATAACACTTAACAAAATCTTCTAAATATAAAAAAAAACTAAAAGTAAAATAGAATGATAAATAGTAGTCACCATAGAATGGAGTGTTATGGTTTGGGCATCGGTTACTATACCACTTGAGCCTGCAGCTGGCTTTGCTTCTGGTTAAGGACCCTTGCGAGCGAGTTTCTCCCTTAAGCTTTGCTCTTTCTCTCATAAGAGTAAGTGAAGCATCGATTACACGATTTTGCCCCTTCTCTAGCAAAGCAGCTGATACATTCGCTGAATTCAGTCTCTGCAAGCAATGGATACCTCTGCGTACTATCGTCGACATTTCTGTGAAAGTTTGCAGAAAACAGAGAAAACACGTTACGGAGAGAGATGGAGAGTAAAAATTGAAACTTTGGGAGAACCCTTTTCTGGGTGTCGCAGGAAAGGAGCCAGGGTTCTCTTTGGATGATTTTGTGTATATCTGAATCGGTGAAACCGTGGGTTCTGAGAAGTTGAGAACTGAATCGGGTTTTTTGGAGGTTTTGAAATGGACGAGTTTGGAGGCTTTGAGAGCGGATTCTGAGGAGAATTTGAGATTGTTGATGAAGTAGGAGACTGCAAATGAGGGTATAGAGGTGGTGGATTCGGAAAATGTCGACAAGGTGTTCGAGGAAAGTACCCTGTTTGTGCCAACATTCTGATGCACCATGGGAATGAAGGATGGTTATTAAGGAAGAATGTTGTCGCGAAACAAATGAATCCGGACGGAGGGAGGTTATTATGTGTTGAAGATTGAGGGATTGTGATGGGCTTGCGAATGATGAAGCTGGCTGCTGAGACCGTGATGATGGCGATGAATTCGGTGAAGTGAAGGTTGCGATGGAGAAAGAGGTTGGAGCATAAAGAACAGAGTACATCCCCTTCAAGCTACTGATAAGTCATTGCTACTGGGGCTCCATTGGCACCAGGAGGAACAGCAATCCCATCTTTTCTTTTCCCAAATGGATTTTTTGGAATATTGTATCCGCATGCCAATTGAACCAGAACTTGGGATAACAGCACCCTGTAGATTTGGTGCACATTTGTAGCACTAGTCAAATCTTCAAACTCTATGAAGCAAACTGTATGCCTCTCCTGCCTTAAAATCTTCATTTGCTTAAAACCAGGTTGAACGGTGAAAAGGCGGTATGGGACCGGTGGTTACAGTAGGGAAGGTGGAGTAAGTGGAAGTGAAGGTTTGTGTTTCTGGTGGATGAGAAACGAGAAGTGAGAGCTATAGTACCTATGACGAGGTTTACAAAGATGAAAATGGAAAAAGGTGTGAACCATGTTGCTATGAAACTTGTTGGGTCTGCCGTAATCTTGTTGGAAGGTTTGTTGTTTGTTGGTGTAAGCTGATCGTGGAGGTTCGGTTTGAAGATCCAGTGTAGGAACAAGTTGTGGAGAGGGTGAGTTGCATAATAGTGAGAGAAAAGTCAGTTTGGTTTATGGGTTGTTTTTCGTCTTTTTCTCATGGCGTTTTGAGGGAGTGGGAGTGTGCATATAGAGAAGTTAGCTACTGGTTGTTTTTGTTGGTGTTATCAAAATCTCCTTATAAGCTAAACATCATGAACGAACGGTTCTTTGTGTCAAAAATCTTTGGGGCTTTGTTTTTTTAATGAATCTTTTTATGTGTTTTGGTTCTTGGTTTTAAAATGAATGGTGAAGGATAGATGATGTCATATGGGATATGCTGTTGCATCAGCTTGAAAAGTATAAGGAAAAGGGAGGATGAAAGTGTGTGTTTTTTGTATCGATCCTCAATTCTTGCTTACAACCAATGAGAGCAAAGCAAAGTCTAACAAACATTTTTTTATGATAGAAAAGCCCTTTAATGATAAAATAACTTAAAAACCTAAAAGTATAAAATATAACTCAATTTAAAATAGTTTTTTTGAATTTTTTTTCTGAATTAAAAATAAAGACACAAAATGACCGAAAACGATAAAAAACTGACGAAAATTTATCCGATAAAATAAAATGAACACATTAAAATAAACTACATGTCACGAAGATTAAAGAAAAACAATATTCAAGAAGTCAAAAAAATCAAAAATAAAATAATAATAAAATATCAGACTAAACAGACGTTTAAGGTTAAAAACGAGACTTCGAACTGTACCGAAAAATAAAGCGAGCATACCGTCATAATCTACGCGAAGCGCAGATTCATAACATGATCGGTAAAAGGTGAAAACTTGAAATATTTTCTCGCTACTTTCCCGCATAGTGTCGAATCGCTTTTAACAGTCTGTCTATAAAACCAAAATATTTTTATTATTGACATATAAACAACTTGGAGCAATGCAACAAATGAGTAAATAGATAAAAATGCATGAAGTGAAATGTCAGGTATTTTACAACTGAAAGACGATGCAAACTTTGATTTAAACTGACTTTTTCTGGTCAACTTAAATACGACTAATGATGCAAAATATGATGAATGAAAATATTTACTAATGATCGTGACCAAATAACAAAATATGATATGAAAGTGCGATTAAAACATGTTAGGGGCGAAATCTAGGGTGCAACAGTTGTGCCTTGATGAATCAGTCTTTGAGAATCCATAATCAACCGTACTTTTGGCTTGGGAGACTCAAAACCTTAATTGAGGCGCGACACCTGATGCTCTTGATTCAGACCTGTCTCTGCACATGACACAAAAGGGCATGAACATACACCTTTGTATGTGATTAGAAATTAGTGATACATATGCTAAAAATGTTCAAAACTCTTGACAATCTTCGCATAGTCAAAGCTCGAAGGTGAGATGTTAAAATCGACCGTATTTCGTGACCTTGACTTATCTTAAAAAATGCAAAAATAAAAATGGGATCTTAGGTCAAAAATTGGGGTACAACAGCTGCCCCTATTTAAGTTTCTTCTATCTGGAGATATGAAGATTGGGATCTTCATTTCGACGAGATTGAAGGGACTTAAATATAGAATACACAATTTTTGGCCTTAAGATACTGAAATTATGTTTATGATATGAATGTAATGCTCTGAATTTTTATGGGGAATGACGCCATATGAGACAGACTATGTTGGAGAAACCAAGCACATTATACAGTAATCCTACAGAGGAAGAGGTTGTAACTCCACTGGGGAAACAAAGTCATAGACTCCAAATGAGAGACTCTTGAATGATTTACATCAGTGTTGAGACTGGAAAAGGTAATGATTTACATCAGTACGAAGATTGGAAAAAGGTAATGATTTACATGAGTACGAAGACTGGAAAAAGAAATGATTTACATCAGCACTGTGACTGGAAAAGGAAAGGATTGACATCAGCACTGTGGCTGGAAAACAAAATGATTGACATCAGCACTGTGGCTGGAGATAAACATCTCTGATTTCTGAATTTTACCAAGAACGGTAACACATTTCTTCTTTAACCAAGATATCGCTTGAAAAGGATAAAATAACAAACTTCCCCACGAGACTTTTCCGAAAGGATGTCATTTGCTGAGTAGACATTATTGTTGGGGATACACAAGCTGCTCAAATAAATAGGCCGCCACTTGCTTTCTTTCAAAGGTGTCAATAACATACAAGCTGCTCATGAAGAGACTGCCACTTGCTGCCTTCAAAGAACATTAAAGCACACAAGCCGCTCATGAAGAGTCCGCCACTTGTTTCCAAAACCCACAAGCTGCTCATAAAGCTGCCACTTGCTGTCTTCCAAAAATACTAACGTACAAAGCTGCTCATGAAGAAGCTGCCACTTGCTTTCTTTCAAAGGTGTCAATAACATACAAGTTGCTCATGAAGAGACCGCCACTTGCTATCTTCAAAGAATATTAAAGCACACAAGCCGCTCATGAAGAGTCCGCCACTTGTTGCCAAAACCCAAAAGCTGCTCATAAAGCTGCCACTTGCTGTCTTCCAAAAATACTAACGTACAAAGCTGCTCATGAAGAAGCTGCCACTTTCCGTTTTCCGTACAAGCTGCTCATGAAGAGACCGCCACTCGCCGTTTTTCAAAAAGTGTTGATAACATACAAGTTGTCCATGAAGGGACTGCCGCTTGTTGTTTCTTAAAAGTGTTGATAACATACAATTTGTCCATGAAGAGACTGCCGCTTTCTGTTTCTTAAAAGTGTTGATAACATACAAGTTGTCCATGAAGAGACTGTCGCTTGCTGTTTCTTTTCAAAATTACCAATAACACACAAGTTGCTCATGAAGAGACCGCCGCTTGTTGTTTTCTTTTCAAAATTACCAATAACACACAAGTTGCTCATGAAGAGACCGCCGCTTGTTGTTTTTTTTTCAAGGTATCAATAACATACAAGTTGCTCATGAAGAGACCGCCGCTTGTTGTTTTTAAAGTTGTTAATAACATAACAAGTTGCCTCGTGAAGAGACTGCCGCTGGATGTTTTCGAAGGTGACAATAACACACAAGTTGCCTCATGAAGAGACTGCCGCTTGCTGTTTGTCAAGAGTATCCATAACACACAAGTTATCTCATGAAGAAACTGCCGCTTGCTGTTTTCCAAAAAGATACCCATAAAATATCGTGAAGATATTGCTGGAGGTGAGAACCAATAATTTCATCGGGGATGTACAAACTGCTCATGAAGAGACCGCCATTTGTCGTAGATAAAACAGAAATAATCAAACTGCTCAAATAAAGAGTCAGTCGCTTGTTGTCATGTTGATATTCCAGAAGAAGGTTGTGATAACACTGCTGGGGAATAAAGTTCATCTCCAATGGGGAACCAAGAATAAATCCTTCTTGAGGAGACCAAGTATTTACGTTGCAAAATAAATGCACTCTCCATCTAGGTTTCACAGCCTAGAGAGATCCACAGGGTATCGTTCACAAGAGACAAAGCTCAATCCAGGAATAAACTGGAGAGAAAATAGTCAAACAAGACTCCACCCAATGAGGAAACAACTCAAATGGGGATTTATCCTATCCAGAGATGGAAAAGAAAAGCTAAAGCAAGATTCTTCCATGAGAGTTAACTCAGTGGGGAATTAGAAAAAAGGCACACTTTATGCTTAAGTTGACACTCTATTTGGAAAGATCAAATATGTTATTTGAATAGACATAACCAAGGTGTACGAACTCGAAGATATAAACAAATACAAATGTGCGTGCATGATGCAAGTATGAACGAATGAATGAATGTCATATATATGTTGACAAGACAGACAGGGGAGATAGACAGAAGATGATAAGATATCCCAGTACAACCCGACGCTCAGCCAATCTCAACAAAAGGGGAACATTACTGGAGATAGAAAACAAAAGCCATCATTGGAGCAAAGTCCTTTTACAAGGCTTAAATATCTCTGAAGAGGAAGATATTTTTGGTAGAAAACCCAAACTCCAGTCTTCTATTGTCGACAATCTATTGAAAGGATAACAACACGAACACTGTTTCGGCTGGAAAAAGTCATGCTTAGCTGGAGATACTGGGAACACCACCCTCTGATAATGTGTGCAAAACATATCTTGACAAATCTGGATTGCCCCTGGGATTAATTTTGGATGCCCCAAGTTTACTGCTGATAAGCTGCGTGTTGCACGACATTTCTTGCGAATAGCTTCACTTCTAACATACCCCAAGTTATCTGGTTGATGGGGAGAAATCGTCTCAAGAGGATTTTACAAAAGACCTGGAATTCACCATGCTCTGGTGTCTTCAAA